GCACAGTGTTAACTGAAGCATATTTAATGATGGATCTTGGCTAACAGCGGAATCCAGGACGCGCGTTTCGTCCTATTTGGGACTCGTCAGTCGAGTGTACCTGCCTCAAAGTGAGCGGTGTTGTTCCTACGAGGATAAGCAGCAACGTGAAGTATATATTTAGGTTAGGAAATGGTAAGAGGGGTCCAAGCTAAAACATGGCATCTGTCCATGATGTTTCGACTTGTGCTCTGAACTGTGTGTAACAATATGGAATGAAGCTCTGATGCAATGATGATGTCTGGCATGATATTGAAACCATTGACAAATAAAACTTTAGCTCAGAGAAATATCCACTCTGAACAATGTGGAGTTTGCGATTTAGGATGGGCGTAACTGACTGGCAAAGCCAACGTAGGACCTCACACAGAAGTGCATAGGCTCGAGTTGCCACAGTTCACAGAAGTACACAAATAACACGTAGATAGAAAAAGAGTGATATCAAAGTAAACAATATAGTGTGAGAGAATAATCAATCTTATAATGAAGGTGAGTGCAAATATTCAAGGAGTAAATACATCTACGCCATTGTGACCGATTTTCAGCTGTCACCAAGAGTCCTCAACCACTGGTTCTTTTTGTTTCGGGGACCCCAACCAGGCATTCTACATCTCTCCACACTACTCAGATCAACAGTTAGAGACTTCATCAATTTGTGTCACGTCTTGGTCTTACGATCTTGAATCCTCTTGAAACTTATTCTGACTTCGTCTAATATTGCACGTTGAGGTAGGCAGTGGCTTGGCATGCGCAGTACATGTCCAAGCCATCTCAGTCGAATGAGACTCACAACCTCGCCAATCGACTTGCCTGTTTTGCCGGACATCTTTCACCTGACCTCAACACTGCTCACACTACCAATGCCACGAAGACACCTATCATCAAAACTCTGCAATCTCTTCATGTCATCTACTTTTAACAGCCATGTCTCAAAACCGTACAACGGGACAGAAAGGACTACAGCGCAGTATATTCGTTCTTTAATAGATAGTCGAATAATATCTCTCCAGTCGGTACCACAGGCGACTTCAGTTGGCAACTGCCATGTGGGCCTGTATCCGAGCTGAGATTTTGTCAACAAATAGCCCATTCAGGTGGATGCAACTCCTAAAGTGAAGGGGTCTACACATTCCACCACTTCACTCCCTACTATTAAGCTTGGAGTCGTTCCAGATCAGTCCTGGAGCATCATCTTACATTTGACAGGTGCCAGCGAAACGCATGCCAAACATACTCAGATTTCTACTCAACGTTTTCAAAAGACCCTGGATTTTTGAGCGTTTCCACCCAGCAGGACAATATCATCTACATACACCAAGTTAACCAGATGACCTCCAGGGAGTAGATCAATCCCTATGAGGTCAGACGTGCCTGAGGTAATGCCATTTAGTACGTCAATGATGCGTTTGAATAGGAACGGTGACAGTGGGTATCTTTGGCGTGGACCAGTAGTAGTCGTCAATTCACATACGACTCTCCATATGCCCTGACATGGCTGCGTGAATTCGAGTAGGGAGATTTGATTGGCGTTATGTACTTGCTTGTGCTGAGTTTCTTCATTATCTTATCCCGTCTTCCTCTCTTGATATGACTTTCAGCTCATTTTGATTAGCTTGGAACTTTTTCTCATCGTACACATGGTTACCTTCTCGCTGATGTTGCTGATATGCGGTGTGACCACTTAGACCATTTTACTGAAATGCAAGGTTCTATGTTGATTTTGACTGCACAACCCACAACTATTTTACGTTGATGTACGTGACTGCTAGTCTTTTGAAGTTCATATCTTTTTGTTGAATTCAGGGTCGATAAGTGGTTGACTTATTTTCTTAGATGAGCTCAATTAGGCTTCTGACCTTGTTATTTAGTAAGTTTTCGTCATTATATACCTGTCTCCTCGATATTATGTAGGATATTCGTAGCTCAGATGGGTGTTCCCAGTTGATAAAATGAATTCATTCATGAAAATTCGAAATTCTCAAAAGTTTGGTGTTTAGTTCGACTAGCAATCGTCATGCTATTGGATTTAGAACCAATCTATCAAACAACAGGAAAAATGATCACCATTCAATGTCAGAGGTAAGGCAGAGAAACAAACAGCAATAGATTGTGTATGGTCAGCAACAGAAGAATTAAAGGAAACTGCTAGTCTCCTGCCACCTCTCCAGGACACAATACTGAATCACTTACACAGAATTCCTGATATCTTATTTTATGTTAAAGTTAGCGCTAATAAAGTTGTCTAGAACGTCAGTGAAAGCTGGAAGATAGAACTTTCCAACTCATTGGACATAATTACACCAACATCTATTGTTTTAAACAAGCTGATGTTAAAATACATGAATAACTTGGATTTGTTTCACCTTCGATGATTCAGTTTGAAAACTTTCACACCGATTCATAAGAGTCTTTTAAATACCATTTGACTAGCGGTCAGTGTAAGTTTCTCCTGTGCAGCAGCTTCCTAACTCAGACACTTGACAGTTATGATCTTGTTCGGGGTTAGAAAAACTCTCTAGAATCCACTGGACTGTAATTTATGACTCGAATAGTCTCTTAAAAATTCTTGTTGATGCCGTTGCATAGGACTCGTAATCCTTTTCAGAATGTCGATTTTAAACCAGATGTTCTGTGATACTTGCATAAAAATATGCAGACACATTTGAGGTTGTTTGCTTATTGGTTACTAACCTTGCTACTTAGCGAAAGGATAGGAAGAGAAATAAACCTTGTTCACTCATTCACTGCTATGTAATACTCCTGTTAGGTCTAATGTTTGACTCATTAACAAATTGCACCATATATATTTTTTCGGTCTGTTTGTCTTGCAGAGTTTAACTGCATGTATTTGATATCGTTTTGATTATTCATATAATCTCACGACTTAGTTTTTATGAGATATCCTAAATCTACTCAGTGTTTTCTAGCGTTATGTCTCCGACTTGGTTTCTCTTTGGCTTTTCTGTCTCTGTCTTAATTCACTAATTCTCTATGATAGGTCATTAGGTTTGTTTGCAGGGCTACAGATGCAATTTGCTTCCTTTTATATTGGTTGGTCTGTTAACCTGATCAACTAAAACTTCCTACTTGGTTCACTGTTATTTCAGAATATATTTTCCATGAAACATATCGATCCCACGTTATTCAAGGTAATTGAGTTTTTGCCAAGCCTGCTGCTTCACTGTTGTACTACTCATTTACGACTCATAATGCATACTGTGGGCAAATATGGAGGAAATTATTGGACTTTGCTGTCGGAAAATTCGATATAACCTAATTTAGTTATTGAAGAGGAATCTAAGTAACCCTGTCCTTTCCAGTCACCTTTTTACAACTCATATTTTGAAGTTTTCTATCTTCACGGTTTACCAAATTTTATCAAATCAAACTGATATGTTGTTTTACTCAGTCTTTCCGATGATGCAATCATTGGACTTGCATGCCAACTATGTCTAGCTAAAGAATACACATTAACATTCACTATGCATTAATCTATTGTAGAAATTACTCTACATTACTAGTTAACGTTAACAGAATTATACTTTTAGGTGGTATCCAGTAGAACAAAGCAGTTTAATAGTATTTCAGTCGTTGTTTTGCACCTATACAATTTAGAAGAAAACCTTAGTTATAACAAAATTGAAGACAACAGGGTCCAAGTTCTATTGCCACCAATGTTTTCTTGTATTATATTCCTACTTTTAAAATCAGTCTGCTAAACAAAGCCCCAGTGTGTTTTCTTGAGTACTACATTTTGCTTCAAGATCCTGGAGATGTGTTTGTTTAAGAAAATATGCGTCATAACTGGCTGTTAACAACGCTATCAACTCATTTTAGTTTTTTTATGTGTGAAACGGTATTACATACTGATTATGTTTCAAGCAGAATTTATCATGCATAATTATATCACCTTTCTATGATTGTAAGCAATAACTGTTGCTCGAAACATCATCAGTACATAATGCTATTACCCTGTTGGAAAAGATTTGTTACTCAGGATATGGAGATATTGGTGGTTCAGTGTTTTCAGAGAACATCTATGAAAAGAGAACCATATTGGACTCATACTCCACCACAATCCCGGAATCTTAATCTCATATTAATACTATTAGTCTTTTTCATTTCTCAGTGTTGAATAAAAAATATCCCTATCCCGTTGTTTCATCTGGTCATTTAGTTGACCTTGAGGTGCATAATCCAAGTTCAAAGCAGTCGATAGGAACGTCTTCGGTGGTCATAAACAATTGAAATAGGTTTGTGGTAATATCACTAACGGCTACGGTAAATGTTGTCAGCCCGATTTCAGTTGTGAAAGATTTCTCTAAGGTAATAAGTACGCATTGCTAAGGAATATCAAGAAGAAGATGACTGAAACCTAGATCCTAATGCTGATATTCTTTGACCAGCGAATCTATCATGCCCAACATCTAGTTTACTAAAAACGTGAAAGAACTTTATCATTCATATACTTAAGGTTGATCCAATCAAGTATTACATACATACTCAGTTGCTAACAGGTTCTAGGAAATGCAACAAATCATTTCAACACTGACAATATATGTTGCCTTCTTGAACCATTCTTACCACAAAATCTGTGTCTAAAATAATTATCTCATTAACGTTAGTTCCAACTACTAAAGCGTAGAATTACTGTCTATTACTACTCGCTAAACTTTAAACTGACATTTCATGGTAAATGTTGTGTTCTAATTAGTGTTTTGAAGACCAACTTAAATAATTTCCTTTTAGCGTTAATTTCACTGTACAAGTTTTTTGGTTTTCAAAAATATGAAAATGTATTACTGAAGTAACAAATCAGTTCCCTGGACTGCATTAATAACCACTTTCCAAACTCACTTATACATTCCATGGTCGCTCTCTTAATGCCTAAATTTTGTATGATTGTGTATTATGATGATGGTGACATAAGGTTTTTTTTAATATTTTTTTTCCATGTAAAGAGATTTAGCTTTGTACACTTTGGATGCAGTAGGGGTTACTCGATGTCCTCCGGATACTGTGAACTGTACAGCAGGTTGTATGGATTTGGAAAGTGCTAAAAAATGTAATCTTAATGTGTTTAACGGAACTCGTCCTGAAGTAGTTCACCATCTAGTGGATGTTGCACGTGAATGTAAGTTATTACTTTTTTACATATGTAAATATATAAATGTATATATTTTTTCTTCAATTCTTGGTTTTCATTTTTTGCTGAAGTGACGTCAGTTGAACTATCCAACACAAAAATCCAGACATTCACCTCTTTATCTATACGTCACTTTGTACGAAATAATTTTTTTTGATTTCAGCTTCTATCAAGTTGTTTAACTTACCATCTTACAGTCCCAAGCAATCATACTTTAATTCAAAGTGAATTCACACATAACACAAATGCTTTAAATGTGTATGATACTGAAGATGAGATTTCGACTCAAAAATGCATAAATTCAAAATTCCGAAATTAGCAAGCGTATTATAAGATTTAAAAAAAAAAATAAATACGGATAACTCAGGGAAAAGGTGCTTGAAAGTAAGAGGTTTAATCGGCGGTCAAGTGAATTCGGACTAGATGATGTGTGAATGTGCATCGACAAATGGACAAAAATACTACGAAGAAGAAGACTTTACACGACTACCTAATGATTGAATTTGACACATCTCAAATCAGCTTATCAAAAATAAAGGTAAAAAGAGTATGAAGAGATGAAAATGATATACGAAATCGTACTGCAAAAATAGGATATATATAAAGCAGGAAGATGTCGCTGCAATCGATTATAAGCTAAGTCCTCCATAATCATCATCGATTGTCTGGTGGATCGCAATCCGAAGTCCACCATTTCCCCAAACAACTGTTACCAGGGACTTCATGAATAGATGCCATTTCTTTGTCTGCCCACTGCTAAGACTGGATTCTTTATCCTACTGTTTATGGTTTCCAACTTTCAGATTCTTGACGCTTAGAAAGCTAACCAACCGGCCTTTATTTGTGTGCATATTTCACATGATGAGTTTAGTTATATCTCCTGAACTTAGAGATCGATTTAACAGAGTTTTATATCAACCGAAATAACATGTTAAGCTATCGTACATTACTTTTGTCAACAGCCGCATCATCGAATTCATCTCTGTACGCTCTAAGAGTAAAGCGATTCAGCGATAATTTCTACAGTTGACTTGTATCTTCATGTGGTTGTGTGGTTTTCCACACCATGTCACCATGCCAAACTGTCTAATGAAAAGGCGTTTGTTTTGCAAGTTAAGGTGAAGAATCAAGCTTTTGAAAAGTACTTTTCTTGGTGGTTTGTGGGGATTATCCTAGTTAAGCTTTTTCGTCCTTCGTTACACTGTATTTGTTACTGCTTCAGTCTGGGCACCCAGACAGTATCTCAGCCCTCACACAAAATATGAAATTACAATATACAGTGGAGATTTCGAAGCGCTCACCCAACTTTTCTGGAAATATTCAAGCCTTCCGCACCTCGAACACTATAAATAATTGTTCAATTTATTGTCATTATATCGTTTTTACATATGAGCATTATTTTTTTATGATTACCATTTTTGCTTTTGCTTTTAACTTCGCCCCACCCAACTGCTTTCCATTGCTTAGACTTCTAGTTTGTCTGTACCGTTTTGAGTCGATAAACAGTTGCTCCCGTAAAGCTGTTTTTCAGTGAGCCATCTGACACAGCTATCCTGAAACCACGCATACCGTTTAAGCTTACCACCTCTAACATTTTCACCTTGATGCAGATCGGCTAACAGGTTGGTTTGGCTAAGACTCTGGAAAACCTCAGTGTTGGTGTATGGTGCATCTCCAAGACACTCATACAAGATTTCAGTGAAGTCCTTGAATTAGTTCCCAATCTTTCAGCTCGAAAAGTATGTTTCATGTGCGCTTATCCGGAAACCCTGTGGTATTGGTAACTGGCCTCACTAGTGTCATTTTCGCACTAAGCGTTCGACCTGAAGCTGCATACTTGACTAGATCCCCACCAACAGTCGTCTGTGTGCTGTTAGACTAGAAAGTTCGTTTCGAGCAAGAAGTAACTCGCAGGAGAAACGATGTCTCTCTGTCATCTCTGCCGACACTCCGACGGATTGCAGTCCGGATGCATTCAACAATGAGTTCTATCATCAACTGAGTTCTCTCTCAATCAAGTGCGCTCGACAGATATCGTAGTGCTAGGTGGGGACTTGTTAACCCAGGTCTAGCGTCTAGGCACAGAGGAGAGTCGTTTATATGGCCAATGGGAACTAGTTGGTCTCAGGTCGGATAATGGGGATCGTCTTCTGCAGATTTGCGCAGGTCACAACCTATTTCTAGCTAGTACCAACTTCCCGCACGGCTATCACCCTTGTATTACTTGGCGTCCTCCTCCTTCAACTCAAGCCTGGACTCAAATAGATCACATTGCAATTAGCTACCGATGGCGTGGGTGCATAGAGGACTACTTCTTCATATGGAGTACTTGTCTGGACTCTGATCATGCTTTAGTGTGTGTTAAGTTCGTCTTGCGTTTTGGTTGTTATCAAAACCACCGACCTAAACAGGCTGATGCAACGAAATTAGTTGCACCTAACATTAGAGCTAAATACCTATCCTAGGTAGATTTAAGGCTAGCTACCGATCTTCCGGAAGTTGTAGACGAGGATTTGCTGGACTTACAAGAGGCCATGAAAATGGTGAATAAAGCTACTTGCAGCTTGGAATAATGTCCCGCTAATAAACGTCGGGTCTGTGCGAGCTTCCTGCAATTTCTTGACGCCCATGGAACCATTCCGGCGGTTAACAAGCACAATGGTTCGCGTAAGTCTCTTACGCGAAAGATTACACAATGATTACACAGAGACCGTTGGGCGTGTTGGTCAAAATACGTGGGTGAGATGGAAGCAGCAGTTGCGTTTGGTAATAATCGCAAGCTGTTCCAGCTCATCCGAGCCACTGAGAGCAATAAGCCTGGTGTCTATGAGGTGGATGTTACGCTGATAAACAATCTTCAAAGTAGCCTGGAATTCTGGGCGTAGCACTTCGAAAGGCGGTTTAGATGGTCCGATACTCCGACATCTTCAGTTTCACTGTATCAACTCCATGGTCAATTAACACTTATCTATCTAACGTAACGAAGGTTCATAGAAGACTCTAATTTCTGAAGCACCACAAGTAACCCGCCCCATACAAAGTACCCACATTTCTTTTTAAGGATGGAGGAACGACTCTAGTCAGAGAACTGACTAGATTGTTTGAGAAGGTATGGTAGACTAAGAATGTTCCATCACTATGGAATGAAGTCCTCGTTGTGTGCATCTTGAAAGAGGGTCTATGTAGTGTATGTTTATGTGTGTGTATGTATGTATTAGTCTGTTACGAGTGGCGTCAAAAATATTGGTTGCTATCATACTTCGCAAACTTTGCAGAACGCGTGAAGAAAATGATTCGCGAGTAGACCCGATTTTGTTCAGGTCATTAGTGCATTGATCGTGCGTTTACCCTCTGCTAGATGTCTGAACATCGCCAGATATATTGCAGGCCAAGAAGCGTTGTTTCTTCACATTAGGGCTACCTTCGTCTCGTTGGACAGAGTTGTACTCTGGAGTCATTTGTCGAAGAGGGGTATTCTCTAGGAATTTATACACATCTTGAAAGCCCTATGTAATAACACTTCAGGCAGAGTGAGCGTATACATATTCACGTGTCTCCATTGTTCCAAATCACCAGTGAGGTTAGGCAGGGTTGTCCGATTTCTCCATTCCTCTTTAACTACACCGTCGATGACATTCTTGAAACAGCTGTGAAGGAGGTGCATGACGGTAATGTAGATCTACTATTCTGAGAACTGCTATTCGACCTTGAACATGAGGAACATATCTTCTTACTATGCGATAACACATTGGTTACCCAAATCGCACTTAATCATTTGGCTACCGGTATCCGTAAATTTGGTATGTACTTTGCATAATCGAAGTGCAAAGTATTTTGCAAACTTTTTGGGAGCCTTAGTGAACCTTTTAAAGCAGTAGAAAAGTTCGTGCATTCAGGTAGTTGTGTGAGTGCTGGTGAGGGTAGGAGTGGTGAAATTTTCAACTGCATATCGAAAGCCTGAAGGGCTTACACCAACCCAGGCCATCTTTGACGCCCTTGCGAAGTCAGTCTGACTGTAAAAGGTCGGGTTTACAACGCTTCGGTGCTTGCAATTCTGCTCCTACGTCTGTAAAACCTGACCTTTCCCAGCTGAGGATATGCGACTACTCTATGTGTTCGATCATCGTTGTTGCCGTAGTATTGCTCATGTCCGTTGGCAACCCCATGTAAGCAATTCTGAGATACGGCAGCATGTGTTTGGGTATGATGAAGATCGTCATTCAATAAGTGAAGTCATCTTGAAAAACCGGCGTCGGTGGCTTGGATGTGTTACTCATGTCATCCCAACAGCTTCCACACCGTTTTTGAGTTTCTAGCCGTGGGACTGGATCGAAGAAGTGGAGTGGCCAGTGCATGACGTGGCGCCGTGGGATGAAGGAGAGTTGCATCTCACTGGCATCCGTCAGTGCATCACTACTCTGTTGGTTTGATCCGAGAGACTACGTAACTCAATGGCTTGAGACGTTTTCAGTAGCGGTCATGCTATGGCTTCCTCTCATCTACTGAAAAGTAATGAATGTTTTGTTTTGAATATATCTCAGTGGACTGTCCTTTTACTCATGCTATTCTTATTTTATTTCTTTATTACTTATCCACTTCTCTTCACTTTGTCTTCAAAATAGTGTTATATGATTTTGTGTGGTCCATTTCTTGGTGCTTTTACTGTACCATGTTTGTGTTCTAGTAATAATAACAATAATAATAATTTGTTGCTGTTATTACCAAATCATTAGGAAGGTTTGATTCAAACAGCTTGTTACTTTGCTTATACGCCCAGTTACTGAATCTGCGGGTGTTGTATAGATTTAACTGAATGTTTTTTATGCTTTAACTTGTTTGGACATTGATTTATTTGTATAAAAGACAGGAAAATGTGTCGCGAGAATGCTAAAAATGCTTCAAATAGCCTCCACATCATCGCCGGTACAGTTTGCTAATGTATTAAAATAAATTACTTGGGTTCGACAGATATGATATTGATCATATAT